TCCCTATTTTTAATTCCCTCATGAGGTAGCTACGGTATCTTTTCTTTCTGAGAGATTTAACTTGCAAAGTTCTGATGCAAGCAAGGTGATGCTTTTGCTTCTTACCATGGAAAGTCAGATTTAGTGATGAGGTAGAGAACCAGATCTTACTAAAAGTTACTTCAGCTAATAGAGACAGAGGAAGGGCTAGGCTGCCAAACTAAAGCTTAAGACAGTTTGTAAGCAGTTACTTTTGTGATAAGGAGAGAGCTGTCAGCCCCCAAGGTGTCAGCAACTGCTGGCCTCAGCCGGCGCTCAGCGTTAGCCCCTGTGGCCTCATGCCCCTGTGAACGGCTCTGCAAAGCACGGCAGGCCCGCGGAGCATAGCTAGAGAAAGTCTTCATTGAGCCAATAGCCTCGGGTATCACAGCCTGGGTTTTGCTTCTCGCACTGTGGAATTGTCAGTGGAGGCTTGCATTTGCAAATGGGGTTAACTGAAATGAAAACACTAAAACTTTGGGAAAGATATTTCAGGGGAAGCGTTACTGGAATACTTGCAGGTCTTTGCTTACGAGCGGGCAAGAGGGCAGCAGCAGGGCTCTGCTGTAGGTGCCGCCTTCTTGTGTGTAGGGTGTGGTCCTTCTGTATGGTCAGTCACAGGATACAAATGACCTGTGAAGAAAAAACATTTCTGTGGGCCTAAAAACACAGGATTTGCAAACTTGTATCTCTGAGTTACTGCCACTCCGCCTACGCTGCTGAGCCATTAATTTTGTTGGAGATTCAGCAGAGGGAGTAAAACAGAGACACGGGAACGGTGGCTACCTGGGAACGGCAGGTAAGTGTATCAAGTACCTGTTGGCATAGAGCTCTCCGGAGGAGCCTTGTTGCCTCGAATCGGAGCGCATGCTGGCAGCACTTAGGTAGAAAGGCAGTATCAGAGTGCTGTGGTTTAGACCCCTGCTTGGTGTAAGGCTCGTTTTACAAGCTGTCGTCTTTTATTTTTTTCCTGTCCTTTATGGAGTGCTCCCCATCCTGTTGTAGATTTTGATGTGGACACCCACACTTGTTTTGCTGGAAGCTGTCACAGACATTTACAGAACGGTTTACCTGTATGGCAGAGTTTAAGCCAAGACAGACATCTTCTGGCCTGTTGCGTTGGGATTTCAATCGTGGTTTTTCTGCTGTGTGACAAACTAAATGACATGTCCCGTAGCCAGTACGGAGGCCTTTAGGCATGGCTTTATTGTACTTGCTTTAAATGCTACCCCTGAGTTATTTCTGTAATGGTACGGCTTAGATCTTGCAGATAATGTTTTGTAGTAATTTCTTTTTTAGACTCTTTTTCGGCTGGGAAGGCTAGCCCTGATGTACGCAATGAGCAGGGAAGGGAGGGGCTTTGGGTGGGCGGGTGTTTTTCTTTGCTTGCTTGTTTTTGAGGTGGAAAGGACAAATGTTTGTTAAATGCTGCAGTCCATATCTTCTGCTTCTAGGGGCTTGGAGAGAATTTAGCCCATGTTTCCCAGATAAGGCCTGTCACCGCGATCTAGATGTTAATCAATGCATATCTAGTCACATGGTGCTTTACTGTTGCTTGCAGACCATCGTTGCTATTAACAAGGATCCAGAAGCTCCAATTTTCCAAGTGGCAGACTACGGCCTGGTGGCAGACTTATTTCAGGTGAGGCTAACTTGGAGATGCGCGGGACAAGCGTGTTCAGCGCTCTAACAATAGCTAAGATAATATAACTACTAAGTGTTAAAGATGTCTGTGTGAGGGTGTTTGCTTTGCATTGTTTTGTTAAAGAATTTGCTTTATGATTTCCTTACTTTCGTGCTCAAAATTCAGTCCCCGCAAGTAGAAGCTATCATGTGAGTTGGGGGGGGGGGGGGGGGGGGGGGGGTTGTGCCCCAGCCAGCCTGCCTCTCTGCTCATTTCCTGAATACGAACCGTTTTGAGAAATAACTGCACATAGCTGCTTACATGTATTTTTAAGCTTCGTAAAGTATAAAAGTACAGAGTTGGCAGGAGAAGTTCTTATTTTTGCCTGGGCTTGCTGCCTTCCTGATGCCCACGAGGAACTTGCAGTTCTGGCTGGGAAAACAGCTGTGAGCTAGCCCGTGTCAGAGTACCCGTCGCTCGCGTGTGCGAGCCGCCTGTGCGCGCGTCCACAGTGTGACCGGCAGGAGCTCGCAGTGGCTCTGCGGAGAGGCATGGGCAGAAACTCTGCCAGCACTTAATGCCATTCCTGAACTAATGCCCGCTGGCTCAGCGGCGAGCACGGGCCTTTTCCTAAGCCAGAGACAAAGTCACATTCTGAAGAAACACCATGTAGACAATTTCCTTAATAAATTTTGTACGAATGCATTATTTCCACCTAATGGAAATGTAGCTCTCTTAAATAATTAAGCGGCTTTGTGCTGGGCATGAGGGGTGGGGAGTGTAACTGGGGGGCTGGGTGCTGCACATGGAGAGTTTGGGGGGTCAGAGGGAGAGCACGCGCTACCTGGGCACTGGTGTTTGCAGGCGGTGCCAGAGATGACGGAGCTCCTGAAGAAGAAGTGAGCAACGGTGATGGACCCTACACTGCAGCTGGGGTGCTGGGTGGGGATTAAGGGCAAATAAAGGATTTTACTGGAAAGAGGTGGGGTCACTGTGGTGGTGGTTTTTTTGGTTTTTTTTTTTTTTTGTTGTGGGCAATTGGCACATAGAGTGGTGGTGGTGGTGTGGAAAAAAAGGAAGACAGGTAAGAGAAGGAAGCAATGGGAAGATGGAAAGGGAACGACAGAGGGATACAAGGCAGGAGGCAGCATGTGTTTGTCAGTGTTTATTCCCATCCCCGCTCCCCTCCCAGCTGTGCTCAGCCCCTGGGTAGGGTCAAGCCAGGCCCAAGCTGTCCAGCAGCTCTGTCCTGCCCCCGGGCACTGTGGGTCTGTGCTGGCCCTGGACTGGTGGAAGGTCCGTGGTGCTCCCGGCCACTGTGAGGCTGGCCCAAGGCTGGCGGCAGGACATGTCTGTGGTCTGTCTGTCCCCCCCAGGCACTGTGGGTCCATGTTGGCCTAAGACTGCTGGAAAGTCCATTGTGCCCCAGAGGACACTGTAGGTCCCAGCTGGCCCAGAGCTGGGGGCAGGGCAGGTCCATGATGTGCCCCGGGCGCTGGTGGGCAGAGGCGATGCTGGCTTGGCCCCGGCTGGTGGCCACAGCAGGAGATGCCATGGGTTGCCTCCAGCACTGCCACCTTGCCTGTGGCAGCCTCAGACCCAGCACACTGTGTCCCCACAGCTGTCCCTATGCCTCAGGAACCCTGCCCAGCCGTGGCTCCGGGGGCCCCAGCGCCCCATACTTCTCATCAATCATTGGGGCACCCTGCGGGCAGTCGATGAGTGGCTTGAGCTGGAAGACATTGAGGCTCTCCTGGTTCCTACGGTTGTAGACGCTGAGCCGGTGGCCCAGGTCGGGGCTGGTCCCTACTGAGCCCGCCGGGCTGGGCAGCTTCAGGTTGACAGGATCCAGCCCCTTCTGCGCCAGACAGGCCTCTTCCGACAGGGACGACAGCAGCTCCTGCACCACGGCGTGGGCCACCCGCTGCCGGGTGGGCGCGAGGTCAGCCCGCGGGTTGGCGCCAGCCTCTGCAGCATCCTCGCAGGCCGTGCTGCAGTCCGGGGAGGAGCCCAGCGTCTGGCTGCTCTCGCTGCAGGCCTGGGTGCCTGAGCTGACGGTCGACCGCGAGGCACTGCCGGACGTGATGCTGGCGGACGTCCCGGTGCTGCCCAGGCGCATCGGCACCTCCACTGTGAAGAGGTCAGAAGAGATGTTGGGGCGATGGACGTCGATGGCGGCGGTGGTGACCACGCAGATGGCTGCCTCGGGGACGCCGCTGTCTGCAGGGAAGAGAGCAGAGAGAGGCAGCTGAAGGCGCGGGCGGGTGGGGGGACCCCAGCCAGCACTCGATGGGTGCAGCCGCAGGGTTAGTAAGGGTGGAACCCTCACCTTTCCAAAACCACTGCGCCCTCGCTCGTGTGCGTGTGTGACAGCCCCTGGAGATCTTTCTATGGATCTATTTCATACATAGATAAAATAGCTATGTGTACCACACATCCCCTCTGTTTATATAGCTTTTTTTATATACACATGTATATAGATATACACATTTATGGAGAGAGAGAGATATCTCCATCTTTTTATATATATATAATGGGCATATAAATATACATCTCCATATCTTTTTATATATATATAAAATGGGCATATAAATAATACCATATATCTCCAGATATGTGTACATATTATATAAAATACATGTATCTACATTACAATGACATCTAACTTTACACATACCCTTTATATATAAATATATGTATATTGTTCTCTGTGTGTGTATGAAAAGAGGGAAAGAATGTATATAAAGTGGTATACATCTATGAAAAATCTATACATGAACACATCCCTGCATACCCTCAAACCCTTTATTTATATGGCTTTAAAAAATATATATATCCCTATGTCTAGATACATACATCTTTTATATATCCATGTACATAATGAGGGTGTATAAAGAGGGCTATTAATATATAACTGTCATATACATCTATATATGTGTACACACATGTATTTTATATATACGTATAAATACACAGTCTCACACACATACACATTTTTAGATATGGCCATATCCATATAGATATGGAAAAATGTGTGTGTGTATGGAGCTCCATATATAATACATTATACCTATATGTACACACACAGAGACATTTGAGATAGATATACATGCACTATAGTACATAGCCCCCCCCCCCCAATACATACAATTTCCTATCATCAAATGGAATCCACTAACACAAATACTCACACACACACCCCTTTCCCAGATAAATATATAAATCTCTGTCTATGTTTGTATAGATGGGGAATGGATATAGAGAGGAATATGCATAATAATACTTACACATTAACAACCCTCTTTCTTTAGTTTTATATATAAGGGGACTGTATATAGAGGGATACACAGCTATAAACAATACCATACACCTCTCTCTATATGTGTACTCACACACAAAACCACATCCTTTATATATATCTCTCTCTTTATTCATATAGATATGGGGAACGCCTGTGTGTATGTATAAGGAACTGCTTATGTAATATACTATACCTACATACGTACACACAGACTTTTTGATATATACACTACATCATAGTCGCCCCCCCATTAAATACATGTAATTATCTGCTGTTAAAACAGGCCACAAACACACACCACCCTACTATTTTTAATATATTTGTGTGTCTATATACACACACTGATTGTATATATAGGGAGATATATATGTAATACATCATACCTATATGTGAACACCCCCCCCTTTATTTATACAGCTTTTTAAATTATATATGCACACACGTACATATTATATAAAAATACATAGGTGTATATATGCAGTCTGTCTCTCTCTCTCTCTCACACCCCACCCCTCCTTGTTTTATATACACATAATCTTTATGTATAGATTTATCCCTACAGATATGGGCAATATATGTCTGAGAGTGTGTATATGAGCCCTATACATAATACATCATAATACCTATGGATGTACATTTTTATATATACACACTCTCTATAGCACAGTCGTCCCTTTAACTACATATAATTATCTATTGGTAAACAGAATACACACACCCCTCCCCTTTATATACAAATATTTTTTTTCTCTGAGACATTAAAAAAAACCCAAAAACCTACACATGAACACACACCCCTTTGTTTATATAGCTCTATACACACATGTATAGACACACACCTTTATGTACATCACCATGTGTATAATGGGGATGAATACAGAGGGATATGCAGCTATAAATAATATCGTATACCTACATGTGTGTATATAATATACAGTTTCTCTCTCACACATATTTTATACATACATAGGATTTATACATAGAAGTATCCATGTAGATATGGGGAGGTGTATAAGGAGCCCCATATATAATACAGTATACATTTATACAGTATATAATACATAGTCCCCCTTTAAATACATAGAATTATCTGTCTGTCTTTAAATAGAAAACGCATATAAACACACGTGCACTCTGTCTCTCTCTCTCTCTCTCACACACCCCCATTTATATATATATATATAAAAAAATATATATATATATAAAAAGCCAACAACAAAGCTTTAATCCACAAAAGTTCACCGTGGCAAAAGGGCCAAGTACTGAATGGACAAGCATTTAACAGAGGCAGTGGGAGAACATAGTTTGCCTACTGCATATCTCTTCTCTTAGAAAAAGTTAAGGTGTTCATTCTCGTACTCCCTTTACATACACAAAATTTTTATATATAGATTTATCCATACACATATGGGAAAAATATATATGTGTGTGTGTGTATATATATGCCCCATATATGGTACATCATAATGTACATATAATGCTTACCTTTTTTTATATATATAGGTATTGCTCACTGTTTGTGTGTATATATACATGGGGAATGTATATATAAGGATATACATATATAACACATTATACCTATACGTGAACACACACACATAAAATTATATGTATATATGTCTATATGCAGACATGGTCACTCACACCTCCCCCTCCTTTTCATCTCTCTTTTTAAACATACATACACCTATGTATAGATTCATACATCTTTAGAGGGATATACACAAATGAGAATAATACTGTATACCCATATGTGTACACATATATATTTTGATAGATAAATAGAATTCATGTGTGTATAGATACAGTCTCTCTCTCACATATACAGATTTTATAGACACATATACATATCTTTATATATACATTTATCCATATTTATAGAAAGAATGTTTGCATGTTTAAGTGTCCCCATTTATAATACATTATACCTATATATGTACACACATGTCTTATATATTATTATATATAATACATAATATATATGTGTATATATACACTCATGTATTTTCTAATATATAAACTATATATGTATATACACAGGCTCTCACATACCCGCCCACATATATATATCTCTTTACATATATTTATACATATATAAAATACCTACATAGCTACACACACATCTTTATTTGTCTTTTTATCTGTCTGCATATACACGTATATATATACGGGGGATGTATAGCGATATACCTATATATAAAATACCATGTACCTATATGTGTATATACACACAAACACACATATAGCTTATATATAAAATATATACATAATACAGATTATATGTAACAATAATACATAATACAGATTTAAAATATATATCCACAGACACAGACAGCATCTCTCTCACACACCCTTTAAAAATAATACATATAATTGTCTATTTTTACATAACCCCCCCACACACACTTTTGCACACACATACCTATTTTTTTGTTTTTCTCTGTGTGTGTACACATATATATGGGGAACTGATATACAAGGATATCGATATATGATACATTATACTTATACATGATACACACACAGAGATATACCCATATTATATGTAATACACATTATACATATTGAAATGCATTAATATACATATACATACAGGGATATAGATGAGGATATACATGAGAGGACATACCTATACATACACACATTCATATTTTATATAATACAGAATACATACAAAATATGTATGTATATACACAGACACAGTCACACACACATATCTTTTTATATCTCTCTCTATATATATATACATATGAAAAAAACAGAAGAGATCTTTAATAAGCATATAAGTATCTCCCCATGTGTATCAATGTAGGGATGTATCTACAGGGATATACATATATAATACATTATACATATATATATATTTACAACCATACACTTTTACACACACGTTCATTTATTCTTGTTACATATACATCTGTATATATGTATATATCTCCATGTGTGTATGTATATATATAAATATATATATAATACATTATATACATTTTTTGTCTATAAATATACACATATATTCAGAGACCATCTCTCCTCCTCTCTCACACACCCCCACCCTTCACATATATTTTTATATATTTTTATATATTTAATATATGTATTTAGATCAAATACCTATGTACACAGCCTCTCACACACATCTTTATATGTATACAAAGACATACATATATCTTGATATATATACACACACAGTCACACACATACCTTTATATGTATATAAATCTTCTCATATGGGGATATATGTTATGTTTGGAGATACATATACAATATATGATACACATATATGTACAAACGTATATATTTTTACGTATATCTTTTTACATATATATGTGTATCTGAGTTTGGGTATAGATGTGGGATATACAATATATTATAGATTTACATGCATACATATATATATATACTATTTATCTATTTATGTATATACACAGACACATCCTTATATAGATATATGTATCTTTTTATATGTCTATATTTCACTGTGTGTATACATACTATATATAAGGATGTGTATATGGGGTATAAGCATAACACATTATACTTATATGTGTACACGCATATATACGTATCTTCTATATATTATGTGTACATGTATACACACACACATCTTTTTTACTTATATATCCCTGCATATATATGGGGATATATATAAAATACATTATACCTACACACATACTTTTTATTTTTTTATATATATATA